TTACCCCTATCAATAGATGGGGAAGCAGAACCAGAGCTGCTTGCCACAGCCGAGGTCCCAACCTCCTCGCCTCCAGCCGTGAGCCGTTTTGCAGACCGCCGCTCAAATCGACGCCCTGGAGCAGGGACAGGCACCCCTCGCGGTAAAGAGGGACCAGGCTGGGGCGGGAGTCTGGCCCACTGCCATCACACCGTGCCCTCCCAGTCCTCTTCCAGTGCCCTCAGGTCCACGGCTGAATTACAGGGAATGTAATCCAGTTCACTCCTTCTGAACTTCGGCTGCTCCATGGCCCTCACAAGGACAGCAGCAATAGAGTAAGGCATTGAAATCATGTTTGTTTTAAGTAAATGGAACAGGTGTAACTTGGATTCCATATCCAAATCCCAAATGAATTGTGGATTTAACTTGAAAGCAAGCAAAAAAGATTAATTATGTTGCTGAATTGAGATCAAGGAGCAGATAAACTGGCTCTGCGGAGTCAATGGGACTTTCACTGCTGATTTTGCTGGGGTCAAGGTTTGACCAGTTGGAAGAGAAGCTTCACAATACAGGATCTGATCTAATACTGAAGGAATTCTGAAAGGTAAACAGGAATTCAGCTCCTGGTGAACTTGTAGCTTCAAATAATGTTAAAGAAAGGGGTGGCAAAGGAAACTGAAAATATACCACCACCCCATTACACAACTGGTCTTTAAGAAAAAGAAGATAATGTGGAGACCATAATATGCTCCCAGAAAAAAGAAGCACTAGTAAGTGCCATCCTCAGGTGGCTGCTTTGTAAGCAAAGGGGACTTCTGCTCAGGGATATTCAGGTTCATAAAAATTACAGATGATTCCACTACCTACCGGGCTCTTCTGGGTTTTTTTTCCCCGGTTACAAAACTTAATAATGTATAGAATTACATTAATTGGAACGAACATATTAGCACAAAGAATCAAAAACATGCTCTATGCAAAGGCAAAAATTCATATAGTCCCTGCTTTGCTATGGCACAGGGAAAGCTTTAACATGACGTGTTAAGTTCCTGAAAAATACAAGCACACTTTTTCCTCGGTACTGGCTCTTTTGCAGATTTTGAGATAGATGCTGAAGCAAATGCCATCTTGTATATAGCAGTGATCTCATCTTCTAGTATTGACAATCAGGGCTGCAACTCTTGATATAGTGAGGCGCTGGTTTAAAAAAAAAAAAAAAAAAAAAAAAAGACCGCAACTGTGCTGGGAAAGAGTAACTGTGTGCTCTGCAACTCACTCATTGCAATATCCACCAGGAATGAGTTGACATAAAAATGGTGCAGGTACCACTGGACTGCCTATTGCTTTCGGCAAATTGGAAATAAGCCATGTAGCAATGTTTTGGTTGATTTATTGGTTCATATGAGGTTGTGAAAACAGCATAAGTTGACCAGCTACAATACAGCAGCCCAGCCAAGAGCCACTGCTATCAGGGTAGCAATGAAAGATGAGGAAAACGTAGAAATTGTTCTGGTAGGAAAGGTCCGATCCCCTGAGGTGAGAGCAACCCCAGCTCTGCTGGCATGTCAGTAGGGCAGGCAGCTCCTGGATGGTCCAAGAGTTTGCATTGCCTCTCCAGTTTCTGCATGATGAAGGGCAACACAAAGGAAGAGCTAGTGCTCCTGTTTAAGTACAGATAAATTGCTCACAGCTCAGAAAACTGGATGCACATAGTCGTTCTGGATTTTCAAACAATTAGGCTGTCTGTGGTGTTCTGACAGCATCAGCAAATACGCAGTAAGCATAATTAGATCCACATTTTGAAGAGGGAAAAACCCGCAGTGATTTAAGTCTTTCACTGATCCAGCTATTTATTATGATGCCTCTTTGGAAAACTGTGGCCTATAGAGTTGTAGTCTGTCCACCACTCCCAAGATATGTATTTCACACCCCTAGCACTCCTGAAAACAAGTTTCCCCCCTAAGGATTAGAAACCAACAAAATTAAAATTAAAAGTTGAAAGACAATAAATTGATTTCCTATGAAATTTTTCAGGCTAAAGTAATACTATTATTAAAAATTAGTGATTTAAACAAATAAATGCTTGTAACCCTCAAATGAAAGCTAAATACAAGATATATTTGCTCCAAATACTTCTGTTTTGCTAAAGCCAATTAAAGAAAACATTCAACCATTTTGACGTATCTTATATCCCTCTCCCACGAGGCATGGCTGCAGACAGAAGAGGAATTATTCCAAATGCCCATCAGTCCCCAGAAGGCAAGGCCCAGCCATATAATTAGACATCCAGCAAAAGGTTTATTCCTTGTTCCTTTCTATTTACAACACCTTTTACATAAATCCTTGGGTCCTTACTTAACTTTTATTGAAAAGAAAATGCTTGACATTTTGTCCAGGTAACTACTGAGCAACGCTGAATTAGGACTTCAGGCTGTGACACACATACACAACTGTCACATCCATAAACATGAATAAAAGTCTATTACTTGAAACAGAGATAGAAAAGCACCTTTCCAGCATAAGCCCAAAACCATAGATCACCAAGTTCTCTCCATCTGATTGAGGACTTCTGTCTAAATAAAGCTGAACGACAACCTCTGCCTCGCTAACTGAGTTTTAGAGAAGGAATGGTGAAGGATAGGAAAAGCCCTTTTCAAGACATAACACAAGAAAACTGCTAAAGGCTGCTCTAAATAAAGCACGCGAGCCCTTCCTAAAGCCATCGTTATTAAACTGCCACGCTCCCAAGGGAAAAGAAAAAAACAACAAAACCCCCTACACGTTATTTTTGTTCTGCCACAGTCATGAATGTTCGCAGGAGTCCCCCTCACCACTCATGTCATTTTGTACCCGGAGGATGTAAGAGAGCTTGTTTCTTGGTAACTCGGAGCCAAGAGCTCAGCTCTCTCCAGATCCTCTGGCTGGAAGGTGCCCATCTCTCCCGCAAATTGCCAGGGTTTGCCTTCTCTTTTCATGCCAGCTGCCTGACAGCCTGGGGTAAGAGCAAAAACCAAATATTGCAAAGCAGGACATGAGTGATCTGAGCGAAGTATTAGATCCAGGGATTCCGAGACAGACTTACTCCAGAGAAATCATTTAACCCTTCTGCCTCAGTCTTCCTGCCTAAAAGAAAGCAGCAACTATCAATTACCTACTTTGTAGGTCATATACTTGCAAAGCCCTCAGGGAGATGAAAAGCATTATACAAACTATATGCACACATGTTAACGCTGATTAATTTTCTCTGTGCAAACATATTCTTTTTTCTTCTTCATTGCCCCTCCTCTCATTAGATCAGCAGTCTCATCTGGAGGATGAGGAACTGCTGACGGCTGAAGTATTTTCTGCAGTTGTTCTTTTGAGATTCAGAAATGCAACCACTCAACACAGCCCTGTGTTCAGCTGACTGTTTCCTTAATAGCTTTGTGCTTTCATGTGTTTCCTCATTTTCTGTTACATGAATTTAAAGCAATCTGACTTCCAAGTTAATTTGAAATGATGCAAGATCCATTAGTTGAGGGTATCGTTTGCAAAATAACTCCGAGGGACAACTTTCTATATTTTCAGGTATACTCTCAGCAAACAAAACCAGGGCTAGTGATGTGAATAAAGTCAGCAGGATTTGACCAAAAAAGCAAGTCAGTATATAGCCAAGAACAGAGATGTAGCCTAACTGCGCGAGAAGCTTGTAATAAATGCAACAGCTCAGACACAGCCTGAGTTTTACACCAATGAGCAGCCCTTTTGTGACAGTGCTTATACAAATGACCATCAGAATACGCATACAGCTTTGCAAAAGCCCACCAATAAGCGTTTTCTTAGGATTTTTGCATCCACGTTTTCTAAGGAATAGAATTTAAACATTCTGTGGAATAAAACTACTGTTTCAGTTATCACAAAGTAACCCAGAGTGCAACTGAGGACTTGTGCTTTGCCAACAGCTCCACAATGGCAGCTCCCATTAGAGATAACAGATGCTGGACCCTCTGCGTCCGAGGGTAGAACTGGGCTGACTTGCAGCATCCAAGAACAACCATTTATGCTCATGGCTGGAACAAACTGCACCGGCACAGGTTGCCCAGAGAGGCTGTGGAGTCTCCCTCCTTGGAGATACTCAAAAGCTGTCTGTACATGGTCCCAGGCAACTGGTTGTAGGTAGCCCTGCTTGAGCAGGGGGTTTGGACCAGCTGACCGCCAGAGATCCTTTCCAACCTCAACCATCCTGTGATTCTGTGAAATGGGCAACGGTCTGGTGCATCTTGGATGAATGTCCTCTGACTGCCACTGCTGCCTCTGGTCTGGATACTGTGAAGATGTCAAAAGTAACACCTCAAAGTTGTCCTTGAGTAAACGCAATCAGAAGCACCCAGACTGAAGTGACAATTGTTAGAGGCTGGAAGCTGAGGGAAATCCCAGGGCAGAGGCTGAGGGATGGAGAAGTGGCTGAATTTTCTTCATCCTCTTCAACAGCTGCAAATCCTCCACTCTTAGATGTGTATGCAGTCAATAGCTTACAGGCAGGAGGTCATGCGCATATTCCACAACTGAAGCCAGCAGCCTTTTAAGACAGCAATAGTCACCTTTGTTTTTACTGACCACCTAATGTGGTGGGAAAGCTGAGCAATACGACAATAAAAATATGACAGGTTAACTTTTCAGATGCTGTCCTTAAGGTAAAGACATTGGACAATTTAAGCTGATAATGCTACCAAGAAAAAGAGTCTTGAGAGGACAATTCTCAAGAAACAACGCCTCATCTCTGTATTGAGCTGTTTCAAGCACACCAAAAAATCTGTGTTAAAAAAAAAAAAGGAATGATTTTGGGTAGCTTTGCTCCTGCCAAGCAATCTGCTCTCAACCAACTATAAAATCTCTCATGCTATCACGCCAAAACTCAAAGGCAGAGAACACACTGACTAGCAATAAAATGTTTGAAGTATTGTAAATGGGAAGAAGCGATTATGCCTGCTTTTAGAAAATGGTATGGTGGTCTCATTAGAAAGGAATTCAATTGCAATAGTTACCTCGGCATGTAAAGGACTCGCTCTGCCACCACAAATCCCACCCTGAAGAAGAGGTTGCTGGCTGGGATGAATGGGAAAACCAGGAACAACAAGCCAACCAAAACTTCTTTGTGTTCCAGTTTCTGCAATAACACAAAATTAAACAAATATCAACTAAAAAATTCCAATTTAATTCACTACTAACTTTCCCCTTTCCTTTTGAGACTCTTATTCATAAAAGAAGCAACTTAGATTAATGTTTGATATGTTTTGCATTTAAAAGAAATCATTCCAAGACACTGTTCTTCCATATTTATGCGCTGTTTGTGCTTCTGATACGCCCAGAAAACACTAACCACAGTGTGTATTATTACCCTTGGTATCTTTCCCAAGGTCAGCTCTATTGTATGCAGCTCTCTTGAGATGGCATAGGTAGTACTTAAAAATATATCCCATATTGGTAATACGCAAGTATAGAACAGTGTGACTGTATACATTAGCATGTCTACCAAAGTGTGGCTGTATGTAAATACACAAACGCATATCACATACACACAGAGTGCTGTGTTCAATCCTAAATGTTTATAACTCAGAAAAAGCTGTTCAATCAGTCACATTTTGTGTAAAGAAAACTAGCCCCAAATGGCACATTAATGCAGTTATATTATCCCTTTTGAGACAATATCTAAACTTGAAATGATACTTTTGCACATGAGGTCTCCATACCCATACAGAGTTGGAAATTTGAGACATGCTATATGTTAAAATTAATGTCTTTCACTTGAGCTCAGTTAACGCCCTTCACTCGAGCTCACTTCAATGTTGGCTCGCTCTTTGAGGAGAAATGGAATTGCCACATGCAATTCAAAGCAACCGTGATCTGCGCGGCCGACACGAGCATCTCGGGATGTCGACACGAGCATCTCGGGATGTCATCAGCAGCAGCAGCCGCTGGGAGACCCCAGCCTCCTCGGGCAAGTTGAGTTTCAGATTTAGCTCCACCCCAAGAGGGTGAATCAGCTCGTGCTTTCTGTTGATGATCTCAAAGAATGACATCAGGCTAACAGAAGTGTAGCATCAGGTCTGTTAAATCACCCAGGCGGACATCGGTGCTTTCCTGCCCTGCGATACTGCTGCCTCATCAGCCGCTGCAGTGCCCTTCTGCAGCCATTGGGAGAAGCTTTGTCACGCTTGGAAACAGATGCAATCAGAATCACTTAATGGTTGTAGCACTTTCTAATTGTCGGGGGCAATTTCTCAGCTCTGGAGAGCAAATTGACTTTTCTTTATTGGAGGGATCTAAATTTAGAAACGTTGAACAAGATTTTTGAATAGAGGAACAGAGCCCGATCAATGATGTGGGGCCAAGCAGTACAACCTGTCTTGCTTTTGCACAGCTACGGACTGCAACACCAGTTACCACTGGCCTAGTCAGTGGCTGAAATTCTGAAGTTCCAGTATTAAAATATATTCATCCTATTCTGTGGGAAAGACAATGAACATCTTCTATGGGTACCAAATGCAAGGGTACACGTCAGGAGGCTCTGATGTCACTTTAGAGGAGCTGAACCACAGGAACACAAAAAAGTGCACTGGCTTCCCCTGGCTCAAAGAGGAAACACAAGGCAGAGAGGGGAGCAGAATTCACATCTCCACATTTCTTTATCAATATCTGCCTTAAACAGCACCACAGTTACATGCTTCTACTATCCACTTTTTCAGTGTCTTGGACTCACAGTTACTAGTGCCTTCTTGCAGTCACAACAGCACCTAAAATATATTATTCCCAGAGCTGAAGCTGACACCAATCCATAAAGCTGATGAGCAGAGGTGCCCAGTAATGCTCATTTTGGCTTGTAATTACAATAGAAAATTGAATAGAAAAAAAAAAAGGATTAAAAATGATTTCTCAACTCTGAATGCAAATTATCAGTCCTAGCTCAACTCCGATTTGCCTCCCACTCAGCTCTGGACATATACCCCCTTGCTTTCCTGCCATTTGTTACTCTCCTCCCTTCCCACCTTGTCTGGCCTAATTATGGTGCCCATTTGTTGCCACCACTCCATCCCAGGGGTTTAACAACAAAGACCCGCAGGCACAAGAAGCTATGTTGGGCCAAAGGCAGTGCACTGCTAATGCATAAAATGTTCTCTATTCCTAAGATATGCTCTTGCTTTCAAATGAACCAGCTATTAAATATTTCTCCAGTTGTTGTTCATTAAATCAATAATTGGGAAAGCAACCTCTAGTTAACATCTGTAGGAAGGACACGGTGTTATTCAAGGCTGCAGCGCTGCAGATAAGCAAAGGAAACCGAATGCTGGAGAAAGACAAATAAAACCTGTACATCAAATGGGAAAGAGGAAAATGTGGGAATTAGCTCGGCTGAAGGAGAAAATGGTATTGTGCACCCTTTCTCCCTCCACAACAAGTCACAGCTCTAGACTAATGCCATCAAGGGCTGCCAGCTCAGTCCCTTGGGCAGGGCTCAGAGACAGGAGCCCAGCACTCACGGAGCAGCAGAGCCCTCCATAGCGCTACTTATTTCTGAAACAAGAAACATCTGGCAGTCGGCAGAGCCCTTTTTAAAGCATTTGGTTCAGGCAGAGGCTTTTCTGAAGAGCTGGTCCCTTGAAGGCCAGGCTTTGGCTGATTTTGTGCTACGCGTGGTCCTGCCTGCAAGCCGGCGGGTCAAACTGCAGAGCTCGTGCTGCGGTCACTCCAGAGCTCACTTTGGGTTTCTCTCCTCTACCCAGCCATTAACTTTTCCAAAATTTGTACAGGCACTTCGTGTATGTAACACCTTGGCCCTGCAGCTGGGTCCTGCCCAGGAGAAGAGCCTGGGGAGAGCCCCTGGGCAGGAAGAGCAGGTGGGGTTGCTGGTCATCTGAAACTCATCTGTGGCCATTAACGAGAGATGCGGCCTCTGGCACAAGCAATTCCAAAATCACTGGTTGCCTGTGGTTCGGAATTTATACTGAAGGAAATAGTTACCCTATTCACAGCCAGATCTTATTTCTCACTTCCCTAAATAGTTTCTACTGACCGATGAGATACTGAGCAAAACCGGCCTTTGCCCTGACCCGAGAACTTCACGTTCTTCCATCCCAGCCTTGTGAGGGCTGGAGGCACAGCAGAGCTATCTGTCCCTGCCTTCCCAGCAAGGGCTAACATCTGATCACATAGGCAGCTCAGAGAAAACAGAAAAAAGGACAGAAACACAACCACGATGTGTTGAAAGGATTGTGTGTACCACAGGTGGTAACCGTAGACAGCTAAAAGCTAACGACACAAGTCTTGTAAGACACCATATTCTCCTTTATCTTTTTCCCTATCAAAATTTACTTAGCAGATTCACCTTTTATTCCCCCTTCCCCTGGAGGGGCCAATAGATTTGTAAATGAGTAGGCAAGCAGGACAGAATGGTGCAAGAATGTCAGGGACTAGTACTGTAGAGCTGCGGGAACAGAGGGCAGCGAGATCTCCCATCCAACACAAGCCATAGGAGATGCCCTCCACATGTTCTTGAAATAAAAAAAAAAACCTGTAGCTTGTTACACTTTTTGGTGGGGGGAATATTGGAATCATTTATTTGGCTTAACTACCCTGGTCATATGAGCCCACTTAGGAGATAGCTGAGCTAAGAAGGTGGCAGAACCAGCATCTTCCTGGTGCCTGGAGCAGTAGTAAAAGCTTTAAAGAATAGTAGGGAATTTTACCTTAAAATAAAAAAGCTAGGACTGGAAATTATAGATCACTTCATTCATTTTACAGAGAGACATCTCCTTTCCTCTTAAAGACATAGTGCTTTCTTTTGGAACTATAAAACTTATCTTCCTATCTGTCACAGAGGTCTCTAGAGCGGGAGTTGGGGGGTGAAGCACCTTTGAATTAACCTTAGAATGATTCCTTTTGTTACAGACAAGCCGACTTCAAATCAAACTAGCATTCCTTATAGCAGATAGTTTGGTGGGGGGTTTCAAATTCACATCTACCTCTAATTACAATTAGGCCTTCATTATATTATAAAAAAACCAAAATATCTAAACCAAAACAAACCAACAAACAAAACCAAAAACCAATAAAGAAGAATTTTTTTAACCTGCTACTTTTCATAGACTTATCAAAGAACTAAAGAACATCACTTCTTCTCCCAAAGGCAAGGCAAAAAATTGACACACTCTCTCAAACAAAATAGCAAAGAATCACTCCAAGGCCAAAAACCATCAATGCAGCAGTAAGTCTCAAAAAATTGCTTCCTTGGCAATTTGGGGAAAAAGGACAAAAGTCTTGAGTTTTCAACTGAAAGAGATCTTCCTGTATTACATATAAGACAGAATCCCAAGCCATAAATAAATATTTGCTGACTACTGCTAAATCACATCTTCTACAAGCCAGAGCCCACAAACCGCGAGCGCAGGAGGTACACAGATTACTTTGACGCATCGGTCATAAACTATGGACTTGCATAAGCCCACTGTAAATTCCCTGGTTTTCCCATTGAGAAAGCATCACTAAGGTGCCAGATCCATTAAGTCTCACACTGCAATGGCAGGACTTACATTCACATCCCCCGGCACCTCCAAGGGCTGAGGTGGTGGAAAGTGGAGCCGTGAGGACAACCATCCTCCCAGCTGGACAAAGTTGCTGTCATGGAAGACAGCAGCTGGGCAAACAAGTCCAAGCTAATTCCGTTCTGTTCTACTTGGAATGTTTCCGAAGGTGTTTATACACGCTTGCCCATTTGATGGGAAGGTGGCAATCAAACAGGTTTAATGTCTTCCTCTAACATTTTATTTTGAGAACGAGGCAAGTGTCACCTCTCCACCATTTAGAACCAACAGCTCCATGGAGCAAAGACTTCCTTCCTACCAAAAGCGTAAATCACCCTCTGCCAGTGAGCTCTGGATGGTCCATTGCAGCCAGTGAGATGTTATGCTTGAAACATCTGACTGCAAGAGCAGAAAAGCTGGTATCCAAGAAAGTTGGTAGTGCATGGCTGTATAAAAGCAATGATTACTATTACATATTTTCAAATGCTTGCAGGCCTAGCAGGTAAGCACACTACCCATCAAAAGAGACACAGAGATTCAAAGAAGCTACATGCCTGTCTGTAGACCACCGACAGAGGATTATACTTCT